ATTTTCCACTGGTGTTTGGATCAGGCCCAAGTTGAGCCGTTAGACCTGCCTGGTCCCTGCTGCCGGCCACTGGCATATGTTTGCTCCCTGGCTTCGTGGGGGAACCCCCCAAAAAGCCCTCCATCCCTGCGACACTGCCCTATTCCCAGGGACCGAGTGCTGAAGTGCCCTGACTCCGGTGGCCAGGAATGTTGGGGTAGTGGAACACCGCGGCCCCCCTGGGGGGGAATAGGGGGTACCAGCACCATGGGGGAGCCTGGCGGAGGCGCAGAGCCTCACAGCACCCAGCCGCGCTGCAGCTGTAATCACATGCCAGGGCCGCAGCCACGGCAAACAAACAGGCAGCGGCAGAGCCTATTTTCCTTGGCGCATGGAGATGGGGGGATGGAGAGGGATCCCACAGGCTCCTTTGGACAAGCAGCCCTTGGGAAAACACAGGCGGGTTGGGGACAGGACGAGCCCCTCATCTCCTCATTCCTCCTCACAGCGTGGGTCTCGACCCCTGCATGCTAACCTGGCTGCTGACGCAGGTTTGGGGCTGGCTGGGTCCTCCATGCCAGCGGGGGGACAGACAGCCTTGTCCTGCTCTCCGTGAGCCAAGGAGCAGATGTCAGGCTGGTAGGGTGGCCCCATGGCAAGAGTGGCAGGGCTGTGGGCATTGGTAGTCCCACGGGGCTTGGGCAGGCTGTGGCCCCCGGTTGGGATGGGTGCTATGCCCGGGTGGCAGGGACACAGCTGTGGCTGAGGCTGATCCCTCCTGGTGTCCCCACTGCTGCCTGCTTGGACTTTTTGCCATCAACCCCTCAGTGTCATCCTGCCAAAGCCAGGTGTATTTTAGGGAGTGGGAACTCCAAGAAGGCATCTTGCTTCCCCGCTGAAATGTGTCTCCAGAAGTGTGATAGAAAACCTAATATTTTTCCAGCTGTTACCTGCCCACCAGTCCCTGCATTGCCACCATCAGTGTCACCATCTTTCTGGGGTGGCCTGAGCTTCTGACCGGCAGTGCGTTCGCTTTAATCTGAAAGCAAAATCCAGTATCTAGCCACGAGCCATCTGAGACGCTTTGGGATCGAGCTTCCATCTCACCCAGCATCTCCTAGAGCCATGCTGGGTGCCAGGGGCCTTGTGTTTTGTCAGCCCTGTTGCCATCCCTGTTCCCACACAGCTGGCCACCTCTGCTGCCTGACCTTGTCCCACTCAGGCTCAACCCCTTCCCTCCATGCTGGGTTGCATCAGCAGCTCCTTGGGCTGTCCCAGTGCTGGGCACGGCTCCCCTCACCTGGCCTTGATTGCCCTTGCCTGGCCTCAGTTTCCCCACCTCTCTTCCCAGATCATCTTGGTACTGGTGCTTGGATGTGGGAGTACCTAGGGTGATGGTGGTGGTTGGTAGCTGTGCTGCAGCCCCTTGTTCTTCCCGTGGCCCCGTCCTGGGGTGTCTGGGTGGCAGGGGATTGCTGTGGCTGAGCTGCTCTGTGATGTTTGGCTCTGTCACCCCCTTTCCTGCGATGCCTTTCCCCTCCCTGGTGTACCCCAGTCCGTGGCACGTCCATTGCTGGGGCTCGTGGCCAAGAAACAGCCCAGCCACTGGCACACTCTGCCTGCGGGCAAGTCCACAGGCATGGGCAGAGCCATCCCTGAGGATATGGGTGCTGCTTGTGTTCTTCAAGGGAAGACCCCAGGTGGGCACTGCTTCCCACATGGTGCAGAGGGGACAGCCTGGAGCTGCCAGGGCAGGTGCTGGTGGCACTGCGGCTCTGCCAGGCAGGACAGTGGCTTCAAGAGACACTTACTCCTTGCCACTGCCAGTTCTGCTCTGGACAGAGACTGGTGGCATCACCTAGCCAGAGGCTGAGCCATGGTGTGAAATCTGGGGCTGAAAGCCCAGGTCAGGTCACCCAAGGGCTAGGTGAGCCCAGGAGTGGTGCCACACTGCCCAGCTCATACTGGGACCACCAGTGGGGCTGACTGACACGGCTGTCTGATGGGGCAAGGCAGTGAAGGTCTCTGGTGGGGATATCTCAAGGGGATCTCCAGCAGGTTTCTTTAGGGAGGGTCTACAGTGGGGCTACCCAGAGGGGCTCTCCAGCTGTGCACTGGGCAGGTTGTCTCCAATCATCCCTCCACACAGCTGCTGATGTTCTCTTACATGGGGGTACACTCCAGAACCTTCACCCCAAAGGTGAGGTGCCCGTTTGTGGCCCTGGGCAGCTGGATTTGCCTTTCTGGGTGCCCGCTGCTGCAGGGGTAGGTGGGATGATGGCACTGCCTTCGCTTGTCTGGGAGGTGGAGGGGAGAAGTGGTGTAGGTTTAAAAACAGGGTTGGGGTGCTAATTTTAGGAAGACAGGTCAGGGGGAAAGCCACGTCTGTGTGTGCTCGGGGGGAGGGCAGGCTGTACTCCTGCAGTGTTCAGCTGACTCTGCTCTCAGCACCTGGCCTCTCATGGCCACCCCCTGGGGCTTCTCTTTTGAGGGGCAAGGGGAGGTGAGGGGGGTCCCCACTGTGTGTGCCTGCTCTGCTGAGACCAGGCTCCCTGCAGAGGTGATGCCCAGGGACTGCTGAGGTTTGAGCTGTTGTCCCAGCTCTGCCTGCACACCCCTGTGTCCACAGCAGTGCCGGTGGCTGATGAGGGACCTGAGGCTGGGGTCACTTCGTGCCCAGCAGCAGTTTAGGGGGCTGATTAAGGACCTCAAGATAGGGGTCACCCCATCTCCAGTAGCAGTCCAGGGGGCTGACCAGTGACCCCAGCCTGGGAGCCACCCCATTCTGAGCAGCGGTGCCAGGGGTAATCCCAGGGCGGGGTGCTAGTGGCAGTGGAGGGACACACTGGCACCCCTGCCCACTTGCCCATACTGCCCATCTCTGTGGAAGGGCTCTCTCACCAGCGCGGCCTCAGGGAATGTGAGACCTCTGTGTGCCCAGACGCACTGAAACCTGAAGAGGCACCTGGGCAGGCGGGCATGGGTGGGGGGGCCTTGCTGCTGGCCCCCTGGCACACACTGGTGAGTACCCAGTGGGGTACCTGTCTGTGAGCACGCAGGCGGCAGTAGCAGCAGGCTTGGTGCTAAAGCCGGATTACCACCAGGAATAGTCCCACGGTCCGGCTGGGCGGATTAGCTGGGATTCATCTGCAGAGGGAGAGGAGATGGGGAGGGCATCTCTGCCCTGTGGGGGTCCCTGGCCTGGGGGAGCACCCACACGCTGTCAGGGAGATCTGGCACCTTCGTTCCCACAGGTGAGAGCAGCAGGTGCCCATGGATGGGTGTCACAGGCTGCAGGGACATGATGGGTCATCACACCCCGGGGCTGGCACCATGTGGTGCAGGCAGGGCTGGCAGGCAGTGGCTGCCAGTCCCCATGTGTGCCGTACTCCCATCGGCACAGTGTGCTCTGGTGGGACTGTGCCATACCAAGGACTGATCGGGATAACCAGTGCAGCGTGAGAGCCAGGCTTTGCCGGGCTGTTTCCTCTTTACCACGCTGAGGGTGCAAGCGACCCCCTCCCTCCGGCGTGTTCTGCTGGCATTGCCGACAGAGCACCCCCTGCCCCTGGCTGTGCCTTGCTCCCCGATGGGATTTTTTGCCTTTTAAATGAAGTCTGGATGGAAGCGAGGTGTCAGGCAGAGGGATGCGGTCCCCTCCAGGACCGGATCCCCCACAATGGTGCCTCGGCCACCTGGGAGGGCTGGCGGGGGACCGGCATAAACCCAGGGCTGCTGGCTGCCAGGCAGGGACTCGGGAGCCCTGCGGCCCCGCACACGTGTCCCCGTCCCGGCAAGAGGGGACAGGCATCTGTGCTGGCCAGGGCACGGCGTGCGAGACCAAAGGCAGCCTCCCCCCGGCGCGCAGACGTGGCTGGCGGGAAGGGTACGTGCCGCCCCACGCATACGGCTCGGCGTTCCCCGCGGGGGGGTTCGGGATGGCACCGGGGCCCGGCTCGGGATGCCTGCCGTGCCGGGAGGTGGGTGCGTGGGTGGTGGCCTCTGTGTCACTGAAGAGTGGGACAGCAGGAGCAGCCCGCAGGAGAGCCTGGCATGGGTAGAGAGAGGTGGGAGGTCTGACAGCAGCGGGGCTGCCACGGTCCTGTCACCCGGCGGTGTCAGGAAAGCAAAATGTATCTGGCTCAGCACCCAAGGGACATGGCCCCGGGTGCCACAGTGGAGGGATTCTGAGCACATGGACACGTCTGTGCCCATGCCATCAGGGTGGGTGATCTGTGGTGGTCAGGAGTGGGCTGGCCAAGGGTCCAGCGAGGACGGCAGCATCCCATCTGTGTGGTGGCATGGCAGCCCTGCGGTGGGCTGGGGCTCTCGGGGCTGGCCCGCCGTGGGAAGATATCCCTGGGGAGATGCTCCATTACCAGAGTAGAGGGGAATTGGGTATACAGGGAAAGGGGTGAGTCCTCTGCCCTGGGGACCCACTGCACCGCCCAGGGCCATCCACTGCTCCACGTATTTGCTGTTCTGCCCACCTTATCGCAAGGCAAACAGCGTCAGGCAGGGCACGCTCTGCCCGATCGAAGCGTCTCCTGTTACTCCCCTTTCATCTTCCCACCTTCCCCGGCCGCTGATGACGGGAGAGACCCTGGCCGAGGAGCAAAGGCCAGGGCTGGTCATGGAGGTGGCAGCGAGTGGTGCCGGGGCTGTGCCAGGGCTGCCGAGCGAGAGGAAGCGTCTGGGTGGCAGCGCTAAGCGCGGCGCATGCAGAATGAGCCCGGCCGTGCCGCTTGCTATTCCGAGAGGCGTTCGGGGGAAGAAGCTGGTATTTCCTGAGCCGCCCGGCGAGGTGTAATTATAACCTGGGAGAAGAAAGGGGCTGCAGAGGAGAGCGCCCAGCCTGCCCGGCGCCCGCGGGGGAGAGGGCAGGGAGCGGGAAGCTCCTGCCCACCGCCCATGGGAAGCAGCAGAGCCCTGCCCGCGGCACTCGGGGAAGGGGGTGGTGGTGGTGGGCTGTGGAAGTGATGGAGCACTGGGGATCCGGCGGCCCCCCTCAAGCGCGGCACCGGGAGTGACCGGTTCGGCGGTGCCTGCCCGCGGCAGTGGGAAGGCGCAGCGTTAACGGCGGCGTTTAGACGTGCTGGCAGCCTTGTTCGTGCCTGGATCCGGCCCAAGCGGAGGCCTAGCAGAGGGGATAAATCATCCCAGTGCCTGCCCTGCGCTTCTCTCTCTTCCCCTGTAGAGCCGAGCCTCCCTGCTCTGGTCCCCACTGGCTTGTGCCCTGCCTCTGTTTCCCCACCAGTCTGGGTGCCTCAAGCAGGATGGCCCGACCGTGTACCCCTCATCCCAGGCCAGCATTAGGGGCTCAGCCCTCCAGCAGTGCCAGCGTCCGGCGTGTGGCCTGGGATGACCCTGCCAGGTCTGCTTGGTGGCCTGGATAGGCAGGGACAGTCAAGGCAGCAGCTCTGGAGCCTGGAGGTGCTGGCACCCACACCCTGCTGTCACATTCTTCCTCTGCGTGACAGCGGGACTGCTGTCCCTGGAGTCTCCCTGCCCCAGAAGTGCCACGGGAGAGCACATTTTGTCCCTAGGTCCACCAATCCCCTGGGAGAGTAAAGATAGGCACGTCCCCATCTGCTCACCCCATGGGGACCCCAGCCACTGGTGTGACAGGGCAGCAGCATCCTCCAGGAGTTGGGGTCCACGCAGCATCCTGGCCAGCCCTCACCTTGGATAGGTGGCATCATCCCTTGGCCGGACATGGCCCCAAAGTGGCGTTCCCCCCCAGCATGCAGGACAGAACCCCAGCCCCTCAAGCCGGCGGGGGGTGGCGGGGACCCTGCTCCTGCTGCCAGCCTGCCCCAGAAAGCCACCCTGTGCCGTTTCCTAGTGGGGCGTGGAGGGCCAGGGCTCGCACAGAGGCAGCTTTGTGCGGCGTGCCAAGGCATCCCGCTCTCGGCAGCCCGGCCTCCTTCTCCTGCCAAGGAGCTGTCTCACAGCCCTGTGCTCTTTCCTGCTCCGTTTGTCCAGCCCTGACATGCCCCTGAGCCCCTGTCTTGGCAGCCCAGCCACACCAGCCAGGGTGGTGGGACATGGGTGAGACCTTCACGGCAGTGCCACAGGCTTCATGTAAGGACGGTATCTGGGGTGTCCATCAGCTCCACTCTCCATCCCCATCTGCCCCCAGAACGCCCCTGCTCGCCTGTTGGAGCCCATCTGCAGGAGGGTAAACTGAGGCACGGAGCTGAGCGCTGCAGGCAGGGGATGGAGATAGGCAGGCACTGTGGATGGAGGCTCTGGGCTGGGCTGGTGTTGTGCTATGGGAAAGGGAGCAGGGTGTCCCTGAGGGTGGGCTTCAGGATGGCTGTGTGTGGGGGGTGGATGCACCGGGGGGCCCTTGTAGGACTGTTGGAGAGGGGGTGAGCTCTGTGGGGGGACGTGTGCTGAGGGGGCAGAGGGCAGAAGGCCAGCTGTGGTGCTGGCTGACTGGGTAGCCTTGTCATCCCCGTGCCTGTCCCTGCAGTGCCACCAGCGCTGGTGCTGAGCCCAACACTAGCATCCCCTGTGGATGCAGGACTTGTGGGCCCTCAGGCCAGCCTCTCCAGTGCTCCTGCTTAGGGCTGGACCCCTCTTGCCCGACTCTTGCAGAGCCCAAGGAGAGCCCGCAGTGAGCCCAGCCATCTCTCTGCCATGGATGCCACGGACGTGCCCCTCCAGGCTGAGATGGTGGAGCTGGTACCCAACGGGAAGCACACAGCCGCACTCACCACCTCCACCATGGCCTCACTGGCAGGTGACAGGTAGGGGCCCCAAGAGAAGTTGGGGTGCCAGAGGTTGGGTTGCTCCGTGCCCTTGCAATGCCAGCTGGCACTGCCCAGGCTTTGGGTGGGACATGGTGGCCCCAACTCTGCTCTCTCTGGCGGCCAGGTTTGAGGAGAACCAGACTGGCACAGCAGAGATGGAGGAGTTCCTGCCCCACGGCGCTGAGAAGAAGCAGACGCACTTCACTGATGTAAGTATTGGCACAGGCACCATGGTAGTGGTGGTATAGGGGTAGCTCCTGGTGTGACTATTTTGTCCCCTCCTTATTGGCTCTTGTGCACAGTTCGAAGGGAAGACATCTTTTGGGATGTCTGTCTTCAACCTGAGCAACGCCATCATGGGCAGCGGCATCCTGGGACTGGCCTATGCCATGGCCAACACTGGCATCATCCTCTTCCTGTGAGTGCTGCGCACCCGTGGGGGCTTGGGGAGGATCTGGGTGTTGGGGGCTCTTCCTCAGTGGGTGCCAGAGGTGCAGGTGAGAAAGGTGTGTGGTGACGCAGGGACCAACATCCTGCTGCCTGAGCAATGCCCATCCCTGGCATGAGCCTGTCTGCCCCTGCCAGGCACTGTGCCCCACTGAGGAGGAGGAGGATGATGATGGAGGCTTGACTCCCTTAATACAGGACCAGATTGCCCCATTTGGCACAAAGGATATGGGTGCTGGCTCCTTTTGGGCATGCGGACAGGCACCCACAGGGCTGGGGATGGGGCTGTGAGCACGCTGTGGATCATCCACCCTGTGAGCACCCAGCCAGTGCCAAGGAGAGGGGCTGGGTGGCCTGCCGGGGCAGCAGAGCCCCCATGCGGGCTTTACTCCGTGGCTGGGCCCAAGCCCTGTGCTGTGACCCACTGGTGACGGAGCTGTCTTCCACAGCTTCCTCCTGACGGCGGTGGCCCTGCTCTCCAGCTACTCCATCCACCTGCTGCTCAAGTCCTCAGGCATTGTGGGTGAGTGCCAGGTCCATGGGAGAGCCGTGCCAGGGGGTTCCTTCCTGACCCTCACCCAGCACCTCTCCCCATCCCGCAGGCATCCGCGCCTATGAGCAGCTGGGATACCGAGCCTTCGGCACACCGGGGAAACTGGCTGCGGCCATCGCCATCACACTGCAGAACATTGGAGGTGAGGCTGGGGCTGGCAGGGCTGGGAGCAGGGATTGGCACTGGAGCACATTGGTGCAGCACGACCTTGCTCTGCCCTGCAGCCATGTCCAGCTACCTGTACATCGTCAAATCCGAAGTGCCTCTCGTCATCCAGACCTTCCTCAATCTGGAGGAGAAGACCACGTGAGCACCTCCTTCCCGTGCTGCCTGTGCCTTCCCCAGGCAGGCACTGGGGCTTCAGCTCCAGCTGTGCAGCCCATGGCAGGGATTTACTGACATTAAGCCACTACTATTTTTGATAACCGTCAGTGATGAATAAGCCCTTGGGTGGGATTAAACTGAGCTGAACTTCCAATCCCTGCTCCTCACATCCCCTTAGGATCAGGCTTTCCTCCTTGAGCAGAACATGGGGCTGCTGCAGGGTAGGGAGTGGGAGGTCTTGATTGGGAATGGGTCCCCCCACCCTATGCCTGCATCCCCATCTGGCAGCATGGGGGCTGAGAGCTGGGCAGAGCTGCCATGGAGACCTCCACGAATCCAGGACTGGGCATCCCAGCCACACTTGATCCTGGCTGCTCTGGGGTGCTTGACCAGGGCTGGGCAGGGGTCATGCCCATGGTGTTGAGGACTAGGCTGAGCCCCCCTTGCAGATGCTGGTGCCCTGGGCTGCACATGGGAAAACATGTGCTGAGAGCAGCAGTCCTCAGCCTACCCACAGCAGCTCTAGCCCTTGGGGATGCACCACTTTGCAGGTAGGCAGGACCCCAGCTCAAGAGTCCCCAGGGATGCTGGCCCCAGTGGTCCCAGGGATGCCATCTCAGGGGTCCCTGGGGATGCTTGCACAGCCGGGATGCTAGTGGATCCCTCAAGCGATGTCAATGTCCCTGGGCTGCCGGCTCAAGCATCCCCACGTGTGGCAGACAGCCCCCCTGTATGTCTGCCTGTGCCTCACGTGCCCCGGCAGAGTGCAGCAGTGAACAGGCCCTCTGCTTCCAGGGACTGGTATATGAATGGGAATTATCTGGTGATCCTGGTTTCCCTCACCATTATCCTGCCTCTGGCCCTCATGAAGCAGCTGGGTAAGTCGGTGGTGCTCCCTGCACCACCAGCGTCTGGCACGCCGGTGCTCCGATGGGGTGACCGTGCCAGCCTGGGGTGATGAGTCCTACCCATACCCACCGGCTGCTCTTCTCCCTCCCCAGGCTACCTTGGCTACGCCAGTGGCTTCTCGCTCAGCTGCATGGTGTTCTTCCTCATCTCGGTGAGCACCTGCTGGCACTTGCTGGTGACTCCAGATGCTGAGCACCCTTGTGCTGTGGTGCGTGGCTCTGCTGCCACATGGCCAGGCTGTATGCCGTGGTGACAGTGGGGACATTGGGTGCTCCGGGCTGTGGAGATGTGGTGGTGGTGCTGTCATGCTGCTGGGTTATTTTTGGCTGAAGGAGCCAAACACTGTGGAAAGGGGACAGAAGAGGGTGCCGGGGGGGAATGGTTCATGTGGACCCTCCACGTGCTGCTGCCCTGCTGTGCCCCACTGTGCCTAATGTCCACACTCACAGGTGCAGGCTGGGGTCCAGCATCGCCATGGGGCACTGCTGGCAAAGGGTGCCCCATGGAGGGGTCACTGTAGGGGCACCCTTCCTCTGGGTGCAGTGCCAGGAGGGCTGTGGTGCTGGGTGCTGACCATCCCCATGTCCTCCCAACCCCAGGTCATCTACAAGAAGTTCCAGATCCCCTGCCCACTCCCTGAACAGGAAGGGAACCTCACACGCAGCCTCAACTCCACCTCTGTCAGCACCAGCGACTACCAGAATGGCTACACTGTCCTCCAGGCCCCTGAGCATGGCACCTGCACCCCCAGCTTCTTCACCCTGAACTCCCAGGTAGGGACCTGGGATGCACCCCTGGGGTTCTGTGTGAGCCCCCACCCTGTTCACCCCATGAAGGCTGGTGGTCTGGTGGTGGTGGCGGCACCCACCAGCTTGGCCTCAATGCCCAGCAGCCCTCCTCTCATGCAGACAGCATACACCATCCCCATCATGGCTTTTGCATTCGTCTGCCACCCTGAGGTCCTGCCCATCTACACTGAGCTGAAGAAGTGAGTCCTGGGTGGGGGCACCTACAGGGGGGGGTGAGCTTCGTCAAAGGCAGTGCCATCTGGTGTGGGACCTGTGCAGGGGCATCATGGGGAGGTGGGTGATATGACTCTGCTTGGGTGGTGGGTGATAGGATCTGGGATGTCCCAGGAGATGTGTGATGCAACCCGGGCTGAATGGCTGGTTGATGGTGGGTCATATCACCCCTGGGAGGTGGGTGATACGGCTCAGGATGGGTGGTGGATGCCTGGGTGGTCTGACGCACCACACAGCCCAGGAAGGGAACACAGCTCCTCCCCACACAGCCCCCATGCACCCCATGCTGGTGCTCCAGCATCACTCCTCCCTGCTGGGTGGTTGCTCAGTGCCGGTGGGTGCTGTGCAGTGGGATGGGCTGCAGGGGCTGTGCTGAGCTCACTATTTCCTGCAGTCCCTCCAAGAAGAAGATGCAGTGCATCTCCAACATCTCCATCACGGTCATGTACCTCATGTACTTCTTGGCTGCGCTCTTTGGCTACCTCACATTCTATGGTGAGGACTTGGGGATGGGGACAGGGGTCCTGGTCGCACGCCGGTACCGGGCGGTGGCGCTGCCGGTGCTCATCCGCTGCTTCCCGCAGACCGGGTGGAGTCGGAGCTGCTGCATACCTACAACAGGGTGGACCCTTTCGATGTGCTCGTCCTGTGTGTGCGGGTCGCCGTGCTGACAGCTGTCACCCTGACCGTCCCCATCGTCCTCTTCCCTGTGAGTGGACCTGTGGGCACTGCAACCCTGCCTGCCACAGGGCTTCGACACCAGGCTTTGAGAGGGGAAACTGAGCCAGCAATGGGGCTGGGACCTGGAGACAGGGATTGGTGGGGCTGCAGGGATTGGGAATGGGACCTGCTGGGTGTCAGGGACAGGGCTGGAAAGAGGTGATGGGGACCAGTGGGGCATCAAGGTCAGAGCTGAGACAGGTGAAAGGATGTTGGGGACTGGCAGGATTGTGGAGACAGGGCTGGAGCAGGGGAAACAGTGACAGGGACCGGCAGGATTGTGGGGACAGGGGATGGGATGGGCCCTGGCTCCAAGGATGAAATGTGACCCTCTGTCCCTGTCTCCAGGTGCGCCGGGCCATCCAGCAGATGCTGTTCCAAGGGAAGGACTTCAGCTGGATCCGCCATGTCACCATTGCTGTGGTTCTGCTGACCTTCATCAACCTCTTGGTCATCTTTGCTCCCTCCATCCTTGGCATCTTTGGCATGATCGGTGTGTGGCCCCCTTTGGTGCTGGGTGTTATGGGCAGCACAACAGCCCCTGCCTGGTGCTCAGCTTTGCCTGACCTCCCTGTGCCTTGGTTTCCCCTTTTCAACGTGCCAGGACAAAGGGGCATGTGGGATGTCTCCCAGCCCCATCCCTGTCCCAACAGGCAGGTTTCTGTGATGCAGTGCTGGCTGTTTGCCGCGCTGCTGGCAAGCACTTGCTCTTCCTCTGGGTGTTCCCCTTGAACCCCCAATCCAGGCTCCCCCTGCTTAGCACCCAGCTCAGTGCCAAGGCCCTTGCTGTGTGGGGACAGTGCCAGGACACAGCGTCCCTGGGTTCCTGGAAAGCTTTGCCAGGGCTGGGGTTGGCAGGGGGGAAGGGACCTGCCTGACATCCGGGCTGGCAGGGCTGAGCTGCTCCGTCCCTGTCTGCTCCAGGTGCCACCTCTGCTCCCTGCCTCATCTTCATCTTCCCTGCCATCTTCTACATCCGCATCATGCCCAAGGACAAGGAGCCACTGCGCTCCACCCCCAAAATCTTGGTAAGCATAGGGGGACAGGACAGGAATGGGGAGAGGGATGGAGTCCTGTGCTGGGGATGCTGTCACCCTGACTGTCCCTGACTGCTTCCCTGTCCCCACAGGCTGCCTGCTTTGCCCTCCTCGGAGTGCTCTTCATGATCATGAGCTTGAGCTTCATCATCATTGACTGGGCTACGGGAGGGGGGAAGAGTGGTGGCAGCCACTAGTCAGCACTGGGTGCCCAAACCAACCCCTCCCACCCCACCGGTGCCCCAAGAACAGCCAGCCCTGGGCTCAGCCCCGTGCCACGGCCCCCTGGGCTGCCCCAGGGACCTTCTGCCATTGCTTCCCATCACCCGTGGTGGTGGTGAGGGGGCATGAGCCATGGCAGGCACGGGGATCCCCTGACCTATGCTCAAGATGGGGCAGCGAGCGTGGGGCAGGTGCTGTGCCCCCCTCCCTGTTCCAGCAGGTCCCCTCCCTGCTCCACACCTCAGTTTTCCCATCTGTAAAATGGGAATAACACTGCCCTACCTCACCAGGATCTGGCTGTCCAGTGGTGCTCGGGTCTGCGCACCTAGAGCCACCAGCAGCAGGTACTGCCAGGGGTGTGGGGACAGGGGGCACTTACCTGGCCCCCCAGACAGCATCCAGAGCCCTGATGAACAGTGTCCGTGGGGAGCTGGAGCCTGTACCCAAGGCACACATCCTCTCCTGGTCCCCAGAGAGATGCCACCCTACTCCCCCTGCATCATGGGGGCACCCTGGTCCCTGTGGGCAGTGTGGCCCTGCCGCTGTGGCTGACGGTACCAGCCTGCTGCTCTTGAGCCTGCTGGGGACACGGTTGGCTCCCAGTACCCGCGGATGGGACCCCAGTGATCCCCAGGCCATGCATGGGGACCAGCAGCATCGCTCTGGGGAGGTGGCATGCTGGCAGGGGACTGGCCCCACCAAGGGGCGCAGGTTGGGGGATGCTGGGGGCAACTGTCATTATGGGCCAGCCTGGGGGCTCCAGAGCCATCTCTGTCTGTGTGCCCAGATGCCAGGGTGATGGGCACCCACGCAACCCAAGCTGGCCCTGCTCGCCTTGCACCTAGGCCCAGCACCCGGGCGCACACAGCCCTCTCCTGTCCGCCCATCCATCCACGTGTACATGCCGCTGGGACACCCCACGTCATGCCAAAACCTGGAGGGTGGCTCTCCCACTCCCTGTCTCCCTTCCCAGGGTGGGAGGCTGCCCAGCAGGGTGGACAGTGTGGGGCAGGAGGGGCTGTCCCACAGTGAAGTACATAAAAGATGTATTTTTTTTACTGGGGTGGTGGAGGCTGGGATGCTTTTTATAAATACTGTATATAAGAGTAGATCTTTTTTAACGTGTTGTGTCGCTCTGGGTAGCTCTGTATAATGTACATATATATACATATATATATATATGGGACGGGGAGAGACTGTGAGGGGCATCACTGTGGACCCTCACAGTTGCCTTGGGGCTGTCAGCTACAGCGCGACCCTGTCGTCTGCCCCCAGCCCGGCTGCTCCATGCTGGGGGGTGACGCTATTAAATTATCCATGGGGAATGCCCGTGCTGGCGGGAGGCTGGCCCGAGCAGCTCTGGCAGCAAGAATAAAGATGTGAACGTGCTCAGGTCTCAGGCGTCACTGGGGCGGGCGAGGGGCTGGCACCCAGCACCCAGCATCCCGGGACAGCATGGACATACAGACACGCACAGGTGCATGGATGTACATGGGGGCAGCATGGACATGGAAGCATCTACGTGCATGCCCAGACGTATGGCAGGACAGCCCCGACATACAGACTGCCCCAGGGGCAGCCCCAAACCCCTCAGCCTCTCCCATGGCCCTCTGTGGATTGGGGGTGACCCCCCTCCCATCCCTCATTCAGGCCCTCTACCCCCTGCCTGCAGGCACAGGGCTCTGCTCCAGGCCTGGGCACAGCTCCAGCTCATTAGCAAAGCCTTATTAGCACCGCAGCCTGCTCCCACGGGAACAGCCCTGCTCCCCCCACGCCAGGCCCATGGGTGCTGCCCCATGAACCCCACTGCTGGGCTGTATGTGACAGTGCTGCACCCCTTCCCCTGGCACAGTGGCTTCTCAGCTACAGCATCGCTCACTGCCCCTACCCCACCTGCTGGGTGAGGAGGGGCTGGGAGTCTCAGGATTTGCCACGGAGCTGGTATGGAGTGAGGTAGGCTTCCTGGGCACGGGCGAGCCCCGCGGGACACTGTCACAGCTGGGCACCCTCCTTGGGCTGCCTGGGGTGTCCAGTTCACAAGAGAGCATCCTGGGAGCTGGGTACCCCCTGCCATGGGCGATGGCTGCCTCAGGGGTGCTCCATCCCTTGTTGTGGACATCCCCAGCCCTGGCACCCACCGAGGGGCTCCCTCCTCTGGCAGCCTGGCACAAGGGTCCCCAGGGGCTGAGCCCCTTCACCAGCAAGGGGATGAAAACATCCCAAGATGGGAGCCACCAGCCTGTGACACCCCGTCCCCACAGCAGGTGGCCCTGAGGCACAGCATTACCCCGCACGGCTGGCCCCAGGGCTGCACCCACCCCTGTGCACCCAAAGGACCCCGGTCCCAAGACGCAGCACCCACGCTCCGTCTCCCTCCCCATGTCTGTACCAGGGCACACGGCGGCCCCGCTCGCCCCATGAACCCATCGCCCCGCGACCCCCGGTCCCGGCCGCTCCGTGCCGGTGCCCAGCGCGGCCGCCTGGGGGCCGATCCCGCCGAAAAGGGACGAGGCCCCGCCCCATCAGGCCTCGCCCTCCCCGGCCCCGCCCCCAGACCCCGCCCGTCCTGGCCCCGCCCCGCGGCGGCGCGCAGGCCAGACCGGGGGCGCGCAGGCAGCCGCGGCCGCCGCCATGGGCTGCACCGTGAGCGCCGAGGACAAGGCGGCCGCCGAGCGATCCCGCATGATCGACAAGAACCTGCGGGAGGACGGCGAGAAGGCGGCGCGGGAGGTGAAGCTGCTGCTGCTGGGTGAGACCCTTGGGATCCACCTAACGGGACACGGCCGGCCCGGCCCGGTCCTTCCGGAACCGAGACCCTGGGCACCAGCCCGCGAGGCTGCGGCCCCGCCCCGGGGTTCCACCAGTAATGTGGTGCTGGACCCAGCCCAGCCCTCGGGTTTTCCCCCCTCCGCAGTGGGGTGTCGGCCCATCGATCTCTCAGGGAGTAGGGTGCCCGCCCTCCCCCCCCCCCCCAGGCTTCCGGGTTTCCCCCAGAAGTGGGGTGCTGGCCCCACAACAGGCTTTGGGGCTCCGCACAGGAATGGGGTGTGGAGCCCATCTCAGGCGCAGGGGTCCCACCAGGAGTGGGGTGCTGGTCCTGCAGCAGGCCTTGGGGATCCCTCTGCAGAGGGGTACCAGCCCCACCCCTGCCTGCGGGGCTCCCCTGAAGTTGGGTGCCAGCCCCACCCCACTGTGGTTCCATCCCCGCACCCCACCGGCATCCAGACTGACACATCCCTTTGGGCACAGTTAGGGACATTTCCACCCTCCCGCTGGCTGGGACCCCCTGTCTTGCCTGCATGACCCCCAGCTGCCTGGCCATGCCAGGGAGGGATCCTCCATGGACTTGCCTTGCTCTGGCCTCAGACTGGCTGGGGCAGAGGTAATGGGTCTAGCCGAGCCCCTCTATCCCACTGTCGCCCTCCCCTCGCCATGGAGTGATGGAGAGCTCGGGCAGCAAGCTCGGTCCCACACGCTGCCCACAGTGGGCAGGAGCCTGTGCAGCCCACGGGTGCTCTGCCCCACGGACACCTGATTTTCATAGCGATAACGGGTCGCTTGCACTCTTCAAAGCGGCCCCACAATGCTGCTGTGGGCGTTCACAGACCTGCCCTGCGCCTGCAGGCAAGGCAGTTGCTTATTTACTTTATTATTTTTCTTAATGACTCCCAGTTGGGTTTTTAAATTCCTTTTCCGAAATTCCCAGGGAGAGCCTCGCTCCTGGTGTGACGTGGGGCTCTCACAGCACCCTGGGGCAGCGAGACCCGGGATGGGCACGGAAATCCCGGCTGCTGCCAGGGCAGCGCTGGCAGAAAATGTCTTTCGGCTCGTCACTGCCATCGGCAGAGGAAGCTGCCGGCAGCAGGAAGTCAGCCGAAATCCGGCAGCCCTTTATTTGCTCAACCCCTGCCTGCCTTGAGAAATACGTAATTAACGCCCTGAACCGCTCGTTTAACGGAGCACTGAGGGGTTTTGGGGTTTATTCTTATTTCAGCCTTGGCGTGAGTGGTGCCAGAGCAGGACCTGTCAGGGGGGGCTGTGCCATTGAGGGGGGTCTGGCTGCTTATACAAGCTCGCTGACCTGCTTGTTTCCGGGGAGGGGTGGGTGCCGGTGCAGTGAAACCCCATGGGGTTCACTTGGGGAAACACGTGGTCCCCCTTTGCAGTGAGCTGCTCCTGTGCCGGGCCTTGATGCTGGCTTGGCAGCTCTTGAAATAATGGTGCTAAGGGATGTAGCTGGGCAGGGGGGTTGGCACCTCCTTCCCATGGGGCTCCAGGGGCCGGACAGGATGGGCGTCATCATCCCAGTGCTGCCGGCATTGGGGTGTCCGGCTGGCTGGTGCTGAGCATCTCTGAGAGGACAGGGGCTCCCGGTTGGCAAGGATCACAGTATGGGCTGGCGCAGTATGGGCTGGCCAGCCCACATCCCTTTCCCGTGTCCTGCTCTCTAGAGAAGTAGAGGCAGGAGGAGGATGGCGGGTGCACTCTTTCTGTCGAGGCCAGCATTTACAAGCGGTATTTCTGATCTCAGTTGGTTTCTAAAGCCAAAAATAGTGTGAAATGGCTCTTCTAAATTATTTTTTTATGTTTATTTTTTCCCCTCGCAGGTGTTCAGGTGTAAGTAGTGCTGGATCCTTGGGTCACATTGGCCTGTTTCCAAGCCCAGCTGTGGCTGGAAAATCCTCCTGAGACGGGAGAGAATGCCTGGAGTTGGGGCCAGTGTTGCTCTACATGGCGATGCGGTGCCTGCTCTTCCTATCACCTGATTTTTTCCCCCCTAGCTGGAGGAAGCTTTGAGGAGAACTAGGGCTTCACATGAGCCCAGCAGGTGCTTTTTGGTAAGCACCACAGCTCTTAGGCACTCTTAGCAAGGCAGAGCTTCTCAGCCCTCCCTCAGGGCTGCAGCACTCCTGCATCCTCCAGAAATAGGGGGGAAAAATTAGGGAGAAAAAAATATAAGAAGAAAAATAGCTTCACCCTTTGTGCCTAATTGGCCTGTGGCACAAAGAGGAGAAGGCTTTTCCAAGCACCGCATGGGTTTTGCCGGCCCTTGGAGCTTCTGGTGCAGCCGGCAGGATGCGGTGTGGGTGAAGAGCTCTGGGCTTGGTGTGCAGCGGGGTGGCAGTGCAAGTATAGAACCATGCTGCGCACCGGCACCATGCAGGGCTTGGGGCTGATCAGTACAGCCACCTTGGCTCAGTGCTGATGCCTTTCCTCCACCATGGTGGGCAAGCTGGAGAGGGATGATGTATGCTGTCAGTGTGGTGGGGCAGGTAGGACCCCCAGTGGTGCATGGCACTGTAAGTGTGGGCCAGCACCTCCTGTCCTTGCCTGCAGGTTTTCCTCTGCCGTTTGCCAGCTCTGAAATAGTTACATGCATATAGTTTGAAGCTTCAGTCTCTGATGGGGAGAACACCCAAACAAGGCAACCCCCCCATCCCTGTGGCTGGAAACCAACAGCCTCCCAAGGTTTTGGTGCTGGGAGAGGCCAGGAGCCATCAGTGGCATCTGGAGCATCCACCCTGTGCAGCAACGCTGCCAGTAGCTCCCAGTGCCGCTGTTGGCTCTTTGACATCACCATGGCTCAAACCACTGGAGTCGCTGGCTGTAAGTAGAACTTGGGTTCTGCCCAGCCCAGCTCCTGCTTGCTGGTGCTGGGATGCTCTGGGGGGATGAAGAATCAGTGCAGGCAAGCAGTTGCCTCATTTAAAGGCCCTAATTCTGTATTTTCCTTTGGAGGATTACGAAAGTGAAAGGATTTCTTGGCTGCTCGGGGAGCATTAGAGGCTGTGAAGATGCCTAGGACAGGGATGGTGCTTTTGGGTTGATCGTGTTGATCCGCAGTGGTTTTTAGTGCTGGAGGTGCAAACCCTGGGGTGAGGATGCTCCCCTCGCACCCACCTGGACTGACTCGCACAGGAGTAAGTCTCGCCTGTAGGAGATCCTGCCTGGGTGAGCTGTAGCCGGGGCAAGGGTGGCCGGGGCAGGGCTCAACAGCTTTATATATTTGGGGTATTTTTGAGGCTTGCATAAAAATAGAGGAAGGGAGGGACCAGCTGCGCCTTTCAGTGGCTGCGGTGCCCGGCTCTGCCCTGGCCTCGCGTGTGAGCGCTTATTCTGCTGCACTTTGTCCTGCCTTGGGGTTTTGGTTTTGTGCTCCTGCCCCAGCCCAGGGTGTGGGAAGGGGATCAGCTCCTCCCTTCGGTGGGGACACTGAAGGGTCCCAGGGGTGTTTCTGGCCACAAAGCAGGAGGTGTCATGTAGCAGGGAAGAGCTTGGTGTTCACATGGGTTGAGATGGGATGGAAGGAGCACAGCACCCAGGCCCTGAGACAGGACAACTTGGTGTCCCTGCTGGTGATGTCCCAGATGCAGGCAGCTGCCCTCCAGTCCGGGATGAATGCTTAGGCTTTGCACAGGAGAGGCAGCAGATGCGTATATTTAGTATAGAATTGTATGCGTATGCATTAGAAAAATATTTCATTCTTTTATATGTATTCCTTTTTTGTGTATATATGTTGCTCCTTTTTATGGAGTAGTATATAAATTGCTTTTTGTATATATATTTAAAAGCATATGTATATATTGCTTTACCCATATAGAGAGCTTTACAGAGGGTCTTCCATGGGCTTTGCCCACCTAGGGCTGTGGGTGCCAGGCTAATTGAGTGCCTCAGTGCCATTGCTGGAGCCGGGGCTGGCCTGGCCTCTCTGCAGCTACCGGGTTTCCTGCTCCGGGATGGAGCACGGGTTTCCGGGCCAGAGGCCGGCTGAATCACCAGAGCTGGGGAGCTGAGTAATCCTGGCGGAAAACCCAGGCGGGGGGAGTAGGGTGCGGGTGAGCCCCCGCCCATCAGGGTGGGATGAGGGGATGGTGGCACTCCGGCACAGAGTCATAGTCCTGCTGGGGGCAGCTCTCCAGCACGGGCTGCGCTGGAGCCACCCCAGTGTTTGGTGGGAGAATGTGGGGACCGTGGTGTGTCTGTGCTGGAACAGCCGGGGCTGACCTGGTGGGTGACAGTCTTCAGGAGACCTCTTTTCTAGGGATGAGAAAATTGATGCCGGTAACCTGAAATGTGTGCGGGAGGAGGGGACAGCGCGATGCTGAGCCCTTTAGGGGGCCCTTCCCCACCACCCCAGTGCTGGCACAGCCAGCGTGGGGAGCGAGGGCTCAGAAGTGGCTGGTGCCAGCCGAAGTGGGGAGAGAGGGAGAGACCACTGCAGCTATGGCAGGGACAGAAACAGAGCAGCAAAGTTCTAGGATTCCTGGAAAAAGCCCAGCACAAGGATAGTTTTGTCCAGCTCGTGAACACCAGCGGCCCTTGTCAGCACCTGGGGTGCATTTGCTGTGCTCCCCATGGGAAATCATCCCCAGCCCACCTCCTCCTCCCCCCGTACTCCAAATGTCCTTCCCGCTGCTGAATTATTTCTACTTCTTTTATTTCTGTGGGGTTTTTTTCTGTGTCTCCATCTGCTGTCTTGGACAGGGGGGTTCAGACCTCCCTGGTGCCCCCTAATTTTTGGGGGTCCTGCTTGGGGACGTGGCATCCCACCGTGCGCAAATGCGCAGGCTCCTCCTGGGAAGCGGCCAGCCCTGTGCCGGAACGGGATGGCCCCTGGGAAAAACGCCCTGTGTCGCTGTGGGGTTTTAAAAAAACACGATTGTTTTTACAGCAATTTTCCATCTATTTTGGGTAGGAAGGAAAATGTCAAGGGGAATCTCTTCTGATTATTACTGTTTGAGTCTTTAGGGTAACTCTGCTTTTAACGCACCTTTGAAAGTCTTGTTTGATGGCAGAGACCCCACAGGTGCCTAGATAGCCACCCCATGAGGGTGTCTGTCCTGCTCGGAAGAGGATCGGTGGGTTTGTCCAGAAGTAAAAACCATTCATAAATCCATGCTCAAGTAATAGCTCCTGTTTGCCAGGCTGGGAAAACTTTCCAGCACATTCACTGAGGATGGGACTGTGGGTGCTGGGGATGGCTCCGGACCCAGTGGTGGATGGAATTCCAGCTTCTCCCCTGTAATAAGGAAAATTTTCCAGCTGTACATCGCTTCCATCCACGCCTGGATATTTGAAAGCATAAAACAGGATGGTGCCATGCGGCAAGATGGAAAATTCCCTCTCAGCAATGCGGGGTGAGGTGGACCCCAAAACCTGTGACCAGCTGCTTAAATATATGGTGTTAAATATATACTGACCAGAAATATATTGCATGTATCACGTTAAGTCTGTGCTGGCCGGAAAGCATCTTAAATTGTGGGATGCAAAATATATGTTGGCTAAATAAATGTTTCGCCAGTGGATTAACGGGGAGCTTTGGAGCCAGGCAGCTGCTTCTTTTAAATTGTTGAAGATTATTTTTAACAGAAAAAGGGGGAAATCAGCCCAAGAGAGAGCTCTCCTCCTGTTTTTGACGGGTGCAGCTCTGGGAATGAGGCAGGAAGGGTGCACAGGGCTGGAGGAAGCCCGGATGAGGGGTCAGCCCATGGTGGGGGCTCTCCATCCTACCCAATGCCTGGCCAGCATGGGGGGGTGGAGGATGACGTGAAACCCCATGCGCTGCCTGTCTCCTGCCTGGATTGGGCAGGAGGGTGGAAGTGGCAGCTGGCGCCCTGCCCGCGGATTGTTTTGGGGCTGAATGGACGGCAGCTGGGGTTTTCCGGGGATTGGAAACCCTTCCCCTCTGCTATGCTCAATGGGGGGGCTGGGAAGGGTCCCCCCTGCGCTGTGCTGGGTGGGATTTGCAGGTGCTGGGGCACCCATTGGGCCTGGCAGTGTTGGCGGTGGCAATTCCCTGGCCCCTTCGTTAGGCAAAGATGATGATTTGAAAGGGAAATTGGAGGGGGAGGATACCAACTACTGCCTCCCTGGCTTCTGCTGGGCTCTGGCAGGGCAGCTGCAGGGTGTTAAAGATTCAGGCCTGAATTTCTGCTCACCACAAGCATGCGGGCGTGCTCCCGGCAGTGAGCAGAGGTGCTGGCCTGAGCTAGGAGGGCAATGGCACAGCTGCCTTCTAGCCAGGAGCTGTAGGGGAAGTTTGAGAGGCAAATGACTGGCCTTGGTGACTCCTGCCCTCCTGCTGACTGTCACCCTGCTGCGGGCAGACAGGAGGTCCCAGACGGGTTGTACCCTCCTGGGCAGGGAGCAAACGTCAGGCAGGGCAGGAGATTGGGGGACAACTGGCACCTCACCCCAGGGATGCTTATAAGCAAGGTTCTGCCTTGCTACATGCCTCAGTTTCCCTGTCTGGGCACCGAGCCCGGCGGTGCAGGGTTGGTGTTGTCAGAAACCACAGGTATTTAGTGGAAAAAATGAAGGGATAGGCGGAAATGCTTCCCCCTGCTGCTCCCAGCTCCAGGCAGGAATTGCCAGCACTGACCATGGACACTGTCCGGGCTGTGCCGGGTGCCGTGTCAGCAAGCTGGGGGTGCTGGTGCAGACCAGGGCTGCTGGAGAGCCCTGGCCATGCTGAACACTCACCCTGGGCTGAGCAGAGCCTGTCCCTCAGCAGATGTAGCATGGAGACCATGGAGCGGGTGTTCCTGGCAATAAATGTAGGGTCTGTGTAGCCCCAGTACGGCCTCAGCCTCAGGGGGCTCCATGCCCTGAGCAGTGTCCATGGGGTACATGCTCATCGCCAGGGCTGCATTTACGCTGGTGGCACAGGCAGAAGGCGTTTGCTCCCTGCCGCCATGTCTCGGCTGGCATGACAGGCTGTTTGTCCTGGTTAATTTTAGCATAATCTGATTTTTTATATATATATTTATTATTTTTTTCTAAACTCCTCTGTAATCTCTCTCCCCTCTCTGTGGCTGTGCCAGTGCGGCTCTGCCTGGGGCCTCCAATAAGGGCAGCTCCATGGCTGAGGGCAGCCACGGGACCTACCAAGGGGGACGGGAGAGAACTTGGAGATTGACTTGGTGTGGGGGGAATCCCCTGGGATTTGCACCCAGGGGCAGGGATGATGCTGGTCCCTGGTCGAAGGGGTCTTGTCCTGCTGGGGGTCTCAGGGCGAAGTGAGCCTGATGCTCGTCCATCTTGGTGTCACTCCCTGCCTGGAGAGAGGACAAGCGGCCTGCACTGTCTCTTTCAGCTTCCCCTTTGAGCTTCCCCTTTCTTGCAGCCGGGGTGACTTTGCTCTTTCCTGCTCCCAGCCTGGGGAGGGAGGGCTGGGTTGGGACCTGCACATCGCCTCTGTGGGGGTGATGTCCCCAGGGGGGACAGGATGGTGGAGCGGGAGCCTGAGGCACCCTGGCTGTCCCCTCTGAGCCCTGGCCTCCAGTGTTCGAATGCTGAGGAATAAATCCACCCTGGAAGCCATCGGCTTTCTCTGCTGGCAGCCACCTCCGCAGCCAGGCTGGGGACCTGGCAGGCTGGGAAGTGCTCACTGAAAAGCAGCCCGGGGGTGGCTGATCCTGCCGGGAGCCTCTCGAGCACTGGCGGAGGTGGCAGCTTCTTCCTGTGCTCCCTGGAGTCCCTGGCTTTGGGTGCCCAGCCCCCTGCCCGTACCTGGTGGCACCAGCATCCTGTGTCCTGGCTGCTGCCAGTTCCAGCTGTGGGCATGTGGCAAGGCTGACATTCCATTGTCCTCTGGCACAGTAGGGATGCAGATGTGGTTTGGTATATGGCAGCTAAGCTCAGGCTCTGCCTGGAGCTGGGATGGCAGGTGATGGGCATTGCAGGGCATTCCCAAGCTCAGCTGAAGCTGGGGCTGTCCGCTGTCTTGGCTGCAGTGTTCTGACACCACAGGGCAAACATTAGTGCTTTGGTGCCATGTTCCTGGCTTGGAGCTGGTGTCATTTCTTCCCTATGGGAGCTATTGCAAAATCTCCCCTAGGCTCCCCTTTTCCTCCCCCTTTCCTGGCTCTGCTGTTCCCAGTACCCATCCAGACCCTTGCTCTGGCCAATGCTGGGAGATCTCCTCCAGTGGCTGAAGCTGCTGCTGCCCTCCCTCCCAGGGCTGGGTGGTCCCAGTAGTGTGGGGATCCCAGCTTTGGGCAGCACCTCACTGCTCCTCTCCCCTTCTTGTTTCTCCGCAGGTGCTGGCGAGTCTGGGAAGAGCACCATCGTCAAACAGATGAAGTGAGTGTCCCTGCGGCTGACACCGCAGAGACCCCAGCCATGGGCTCTGAAACCGGTGGCAGCTGAGGAAAGTTCCCCTCTGCAGCATCAGTGCTGCTGCAGAGCATGGGGAGGGAGCAGCACCATGGGGTGCCCCATGGAGGGCTGACCTTGCCTGTGTCTCTTCCCTGCCCCAGAATCATCCATGAGGATGGCTACTCTGAGGAGGAGTGCCGGCAGTACAAAGCTGTGGTCTACAGCAACACCATCCAGTCCATCATGGCTATCATCAAGGCGATGGGGAACCTGCAGATTGACTTTGGAGACTCCTCCAGAGCGGTGAGTGCCCTGCTCCCAGTGCGCCTGGCAGGGCTTGGGGGTCCCAAAGCTGGATCAGGATTAGGGTGGTCCTGCTCAAGCTCTGCTGTTCCCTTGCTGGACGTGACCTCCTGTCTTTGGTGTTGAGGAAGGGGGCACCCAAAGCATAATCCATAGGTGGCTACCCTGGCACGGCCCCTGGTGGGTGCAGAGGTGGGGGTCCATTGCTTCCCTTTTGTCTCATCCCCATCTGGAGCTTCTGCCTTGCCATCTGGGTGGGACACGGTGGGCTCCAGCCAAATCCTTTGGGGCAAAGTGAGTTTTGATAACCCTGTGCCAATGCTTTATCCCTGTTTTTTTTCCCTTCAGGATGATGCTCGGCAGCTGTTTGCACTCTCCTGCACCGCTGAGGAGCAGGGCATCATGCCAGAAGACCTGGCCAGTGTGATCCGGAGGCTGTGGGCTGACAACGGAGTCCAGGCTTGTTTTAACCGCTCCCGAGAGTACCAGCTGAATGACTCTGCTGCCTAGTGAGTACCCTGGCTCCTCTCCCCAGGCCCTGCAGGCTGTGGAGCTTTTATTGAGCAACAGAAAATCCTTCAGGGGCTGCTGTTCCCCATCACCTCAGGGGCTGGTGCTGCCCCTTCCCACCCGGCGCTGGGGCTGAGCCAGAGCAGAACTGGGAAGGCGGATGTTTCGAAAGCTGTTTCCTCCTCTGGCAGGGTGCTGCGTCCCGCAGGAGGGGGGCACCGGGGCCCCCCCCTCCTGCCACTGCTCTGCACCCACTGCCTTTCCTGGGGTTTGCTCTCCCCTGTTGTCCCTGACATGGCTTCCCCCATGTGAGCAGAGCCAGGGGTACTGCCTGTCCTCATGGCCCTTCATAGGCATGAAGACAAAAAAAAGCTCCAGAGAGGGCACTGGGGACCCGTGTGTGTGAACAGGATAAGAAGGATGCACAAGAGGCTTTTCATCTTAACTGAGTTTATATGGAAAGACTTGGCATTATGCTAGTGTACTAGCCAGCAAGCTCGAGTTTAGGTGGATAAATTGCCTGCATCTGGTTGGGTTTATCCCTGAAGAGATTTAATAAATATGTTAATCTACCTAAAATATGGTTGCTGGAGAGGGTGGTGTGGCCAAGGCTGTATTGAGCTTGTATGGTGTCCTCCTACCCTGTCTGCCTAGATCCTTTGTGGTGAAGCAGTGCCATAGGGAGCTTGTGGTGCGCCAAGAAAACACCATTAAGGCTGGTCCCGCTGGGGTGTAAGCGTCCTTGGGACTCGCCACTGCTTTGTCCCCTGTGTGCCAGCCCAGTTGTCCCCGCTGGCACTGTTGGGTCCCTCTTCTGCATTGAGGTCACTGGGGGTAAGAGGCAGAGGAAAGGTCCTGGCAAGCAATGACCCCAGAGAAGCTCCCACCAGCTCTTTGCTCCAGCATCCACGGTTTTCTTTTGCTGCTGCCTGACCCCCACCCGCCCTCCCTGGTCCCTGTCCTGCTCAGTGTCATCGTCCCACAGCCGGCAGTGGCATGGGTGCTGGTTTGGAGGCAGGAGGGACCTGGCAGCTGCCTGGCAGCTTGTAGGCACAGTCTGAGTAGATACATCTGCAAGGTGCCTGCAAGCTGAGTATCACTATAAATGCATGTATGGTGTGTTTGGCACATTGCAGGGGTTGCGCAAGCATGACTTAAAAGCCCCTCCAGCCCCCCAGAGATGCTGGTGCAGTAATCGATGCCCTGTCAATCCCTGTGGGGATGGTGCTGTGCCTGTGGTGCCACTGGCACAGGGCACCCAGGGTTTGAGGAGCCCTGTGCCGTGCCCAGCACACAGCCTGTCTGTACCCCTGCCTTCTTTGCAGCCACTTGAGGTAGCTGGAGCTCAGGGTGCCCGGTGGGCGCTCACTGGCACCCTGGGTGGGTGTATGGTCCGAGTGCCGCCGGCGCTGTGCAGCCCTGCTGCAGTGTTTCCTGTTTTTTGTCAGCCAGAGGCCGTGTGTGTTTCCGGCTGTTTTCAAGCTGTTCCACACAGCCCCATGCCGGTCCCCCCGCCCTTGCACCCACCGTGGGGTCCCAGGGCACCTACAGCTCTGGCTTTGATCCGGCTCACTGAAGGGTTTCCTGGGAGCTGGCCAACAGCCGTGCTGCCATTGGAGCCAGGGATCCCTGTGGCTTTGCGAGCTGTAATCTGCCTTTCACCAGATTACAGGGCTGCAAATGCCTTTAATTAGCACAAGCCTAATGTGCTTAAAGGAGCCTGTTTATAGTAACCCAATTAAATCAACGTGAGCTGGAGAAATTGAAACTTGCCTTGATTCTCCCAGCAACCCTCAGGTGGTCCCAATGTTGGGAACCAAACCCCACTGCTGGTGACTGGGCTCTGACAGGGCCAGGGCAGGCAGTGCTACCCCGGGGGGGCTCAGGATGGACGACAGCCCCCCAGCCACACTGCTCCCTGTCTCTCCTGCCTCCCGCTTCCTCCCAGGATGCCGTCCCTTTGTGTTTTGTGACTATAAATGGCCCGGCGCCATCGATTGTTTCCGCCGGCGCTGTGGCTGGTTGCCATAGCACTGAATACTTTCCTCTCACCATTTCCCCTGTGCAAACAGCCGGGGAAATGGGGGGAGCCCCCCAGCCCTGGCTGCATCCCCCTGTCACCCCAGGAGCTGGCAGGGCTCTGGGGTGACCCCAGGGTGCCGATGGGGTCCACTGTGCTCAGCGCTGCCCACTCTGAATGGTTGATGCTAGGGTCTATGGAAAGGGTGGCCTGGTGTGGGAATGCCCCATGGGATTCGAGTGGGTTGTAACCCATGGTCTAGCTTCCACAGCGCCTTTCTGCTCCCTCGCCAGCTACCTGAATGACCTGGAGCGGATAGCCCGTGTTGACTACATCCCCACCCAGCAGGATGTGCTGCGCACCAGGGTGAAGACCACCGGCATCGTGGAGACCCACTTCACCTTCAAGGATCTGCACTTCAAGTATGTCTGACCCTTTCCCTTTTTCCTTTCCAAGGCAAGAAATCCCTCCCTCCCTGTGCTGGGTTGGATCCTGCTTGCACTGACTCCCCCTGGGTTTGCTCGTGGCGAGAGCTGTGGCCTCGGAGTGAGCGGAAACTGCTGAAATAGCTGGAGCAGCCTCAAAAACGCCTTGCAGGGCTCATCCAGGGGCCAGATCCAGCCTCGGGCAGGAGGGGGAAGTGGGAAGGAATCCTCTGTGTGCCTGATGCTGCTTCTGCTGTGGGAAGGGCGCTGGGCATGAGCCGGGGGTCTCTGTGTTGGGCAGTGACCCTGCTGCCTGCTGGCATACTGGGTTGCTATCCACTGAAAACCCATGGGAAATAGCCAGAGCTCCAGTTTCCGAGGCAAAGAGCTGGCACTGTGCACATTCCGGGGAATTTAGTCACTTGGCAATGGAGCTGCTGGCAGAAAGATCTGCAGGGGTCCTCTCTGGTTGTGGGGGGCAGCGGGGACCCCTCTGCCACCCTGGTGGGATGGAAGCACTTGGCTGTGCATCGACAGGGCAGTGCTTTGGAGGTGGTGGGAAGGATGGTCCAGGGGAATGTGGCGTATCCAGGGGGCATAGCAGTGAAGAAGCCTTGCTGCCAGCCAGACAGTTGGCAGTGGACATAGTGCTGCTGGTGGGCTTTTCTCTGTGGATGCAGAGCATCCTCTGCCGCCTGCAGCAGGAGAGACTCGCAGTGCACTGGGATCATCCCCTGAGTCCTTGCACTTCTTGTGATCCTGCTGAGCCTGCAGCCTCTTGGCCAAGCACCGCAGCTCCGCTTGGTCCAAGATCTAAAGCAAAATCCCACAGCACCTGCTCCAGAGTAGAACTCCAAGAGCATCTACTGGAGCCATGACACCCCTGGGAAAGGTGGCCTGATCCTGCTCTGGCTTATAGTGGGGATTTGGTCCCAGACACCCTGCTGTCCCTGGGATGGGCAGTGGGTGCTGAGCAGATCCACAGCACCAGCAAAGTCCCTGGGGAAGAGACACCATTCTCTGCCTGCTCCAGTGCCACTCCTGCTCCAGGAAGCTGGGGAAACTGAGGCAGGGTGCAGGTGAGAGCAGTGCTGGATGTGCTGCCCATCACCACACCACCTCCCTGCCCCAGGATGTTCGATGTGGGGGGCCAGCGCTCGGAACGGAAGAAGTGGATCCACTGCTTTGAGGGGGTGACAGCCATCATTTTCTGCGTGGCCCTGAGTGCCTATGACCTGGTGCTGGCTGAAGACGAGGAGATGGTGAGTCGAGGCAGATGGAGTGGGTATTGTGAGCCATCCCATCCTTGTGGGGCAGGGGGAGCACCCCCTCCTCAGGTGGTCACCAGTGCTCTGGCCAGTGTGGCCCAAGTCTTGCAGGGCCATCAGCATCCCCTGCCTGGGCTGACAGGAATGTGGGGAGGTGGCAGGTTGGTCAGCAGTAGGGTGGGAGCTGCTTGGGGTTTCCTGCCCTGCTCAGGCTGCTGTTTTCCCTGCCAGAACCGGATGCACGAGAGCATGAAGCTGTTTGACAGCATCTGCAACAATAAGTGGTTCACGGACACATCCATCATCCTCTTCCTCAACAAGAAAGACCTCTTTGAGGAGAAGATCATGCACAGCCCCCTCACCATCTGCTTCCCTGAGTACACAGGTACCACCAGGACCCTTGGTGCTCCCCCAAAGGGCACCTTGGCAATAAGACAAGGTGGTGCAAAAGCACTAGGCAGTCTCTTGCCTGGGTTGTGTAGCACGCGATGCTGGGGATGGATATGGTGGCTTTCCTGTGTCTGGGAAGTGGTGTGCTGGGGCAGTGGTGGAGTGCAGTGGTGTTTGGGGTGACCCAGGGTATGGGGAAAGATGGGCACATGACACAAGGGGAAGCAGCCCTTGGGGGGGTTTAGCTGAGGCTCAGTGTGCCTGGGGAGCATCAGTTCAGCATCAGAGCAGTGGCTGAGCTGGTGTGGGGAGCTAAGCCAAGCCCAAACCCTTTGGGTGCTGGTGGCAGGGGGGATGTCCCTGGGGGACTGTGGGGCATCCCAGTGTGTGCTCCTCCCCAGGGGCCAACAAGTACGACGAGGCGGCCAGCTACATCCAGAGCAAGTTTGAGGACCTGAACAAGCGGAAGGACACCAAGGAGATCTACACCCACTTCACTTGTGCCACCGACACCAAGAACGTGCAGTTTGTCTTTGATGCCGTCACTGACGTCATCATCAAAAACAACCTGAAGGACTGCGGGCTCTTCTGAGCGCCGGTGCTGCCTAGGTGCGTGCTGGTCCCAGTAGGGCCAATTGGGGTGGCCACAGAGCATCCTGTCCTGCTGTATCACCAGCTGGGGGTGCCCGTGCCCCTCATCCCATCCACTCACCCCTTGCTCTCTTCTAGGACCCCTGGGCCCGCCGCTGAAGGAAGGACCATGCCGCCCCCCACTCCTGCTTCTCTTCGGATTCATCCCTCTGCCCCCACCCCACAAAGAGACTTTTGGGTGCCAGCGCAGTGGCAGGGCCTGTGTCCCCCCTGCTGCCTGTGTTTGTCCCCCACCACCTTCCTCCTCCTTGCCGGCATCACCCTTCCCGGGGTAAACGAGGTTTTAATCTTGGTTTTTAAGCCCTGAACCCTCCCACCCCTCTGTCCATGCCCTCCGTGCCCCCTGTTGATGTGTTCCGAGCCCTGGCGCTCTCTCTGTTTACATTGCAAGTGTTGCTGGCATGGGGAGGGGACACGGGGGTCACCTCACGGATGCCCACCCGGCCAAAAACACGATGATGACATTCCTTTGGGTAGACCAGAAAAGAAAGGCACCCCCCCACCCCCCAAACCCATGCAAAAAAAACCACACCACAGCGGCTGGGGCCAGGTTGCTTTTTAAAGAAACCTTTTTACCAAACTATTTAAAAGCGTCGAGTGCTATGTGGTGGCAGCATCCTCCACGGCCAGCCCACCCCCAACCGTGTGCCTTGGGGGGGGTCCCGCACCCCACCCCACCTCACTGCGCATCAACACTGCCCAAGGGGTGGGCAGGGGGTGCTGCCGCTGCCTGTATCCCCCCATCCCCTTCTTTCTAAGCCTAGTTTCGTAGGGCTAGCTGTTGCATAGGGTGAGGAGAGCCTGCTGTACAGTGGCCCGTGCTGCCTCCCCCCCAGCCCGGGGGCCCCCTCAGCCGGTGCCTGCGGCCTTGCTTTTCCCACAGGGTGTTTTACCGAATTGTTCACATGGTTTGAAATAATAAAATGTAGAAAGGAAAAAAAAAAAAAAACAACAATGTATGTAGTGGTACCCCCCTACCTGTGACCGATCATAGGGTGGGGGCTGGGGGGGCCCGGACTGGAAGAGGGGCATGGGGCGGGCTGGCATTACGCCGGGGCTCAGCAGCATCCCCTGGGTGTGGGAGGTGAGGGCAGCAGTGGGACCCTTGAGAGAGAGCTGGGACATTGCCGGGGGTCTGAGCTGATGGGGGACCGTGACCACCCCTTGCCCCTGCAGCAGGGGGATGGTGGCATTCCGGGAGCTCCAGTACCTGTGACCTCAAGGGGGATCTAGCACCCGTTGCACCCAGGATTCCATAGGGACACCGAGGTCCATGGGGCACCCATGAACAAAGAGTAGCCCCCAGAATCAAGGGGTTTCTGGAGACCCTCGGCTCCAGGGGGCACCCAGGAACTGCCAGCACCCTGCAGCACCTGAGAGACCCCCCCCCCAGTACCTCCCAGCTGCAAAGGGTACCCGGGGACGTCCGGCACCCAAAGGATCTCTGAGCTCCCTTTAGCTCCAAGGGGTATCAGGGACCCCCAATAGCACCCCAAGGGACCCCAAAGGACCCCCAACACCCCTGGGGGCACTGGCTCCAAGGGGCACTCAGGGACCCTCATCACCCAAGGGACCCCCAGTAGTCCGCAACTCCAAGAGATACCTAATGGATCCCCAGTGCCTAAGGGATCCCCAGTACCCCCCAGCTCCATGGGGTACCCAGGGACCCACAGCACCCAGCACCACTGAGTGCCCTGTGACGGTGGCTGGTGGGAGGACAGACAAGGAGGGGAAGTGGGGCTGTGCCCCCCCTCCCCCCCCGGGGTGTCTCTGGGGCTGAGCCAGTCAAATCCCAGGGGTTTGGGGCAAGTGGAGGTGGGGTGGGGGCAGCAGTGGGGCTGGACCCCCAGGGGAATGGGGAGGCCGGGGCTGGGGAGGGAGCACTGGACCTGGGGCTCAGAAGAGCCCGCAGTCCTTGAGGTTCTCCTTGATGATGATGTCGGTGACGGCATCGAAGACGAACTTGACGTTCTCAGTATCAGTGGCGCAGGTCATGTGGGAATAGATTTCCTTCACATCCCGCCGCATGTTCAGCTCCAGGAACTGCAGCTTGATGTAGTTGCCCGCGTCCTCGTAGGTGTTGGGACCTGATGGCGCAGCAGTGAGCTGAGTCCCCTCCCCATGGAGTGTCACCGAGCACTCCCCCCGGCCGACCAAACTGTGCTTGGTTCATGAGCAAGGGTAGTGCAGCACCACTGCGTGGGGTGCTGAGGACACCTGGTGGGTGTCTGCTGAAGGGTGCTGGCACCCAAGCCTTCACCAACCACCCACTTGCACCCGATGCAGCAGCCGCTGGCACGCTCACCGTCATAGTCGGGGAAGCAGATGCTGAGGTGGGCCTTCTTGATCTTCTCCAGGAAGACGTCCTTCTTGTTGAGGAACAGGACGATGGAGGTGGTGGCAAAGTAGCGGTGGTTGCAGATGCTATTGAAGAGGTGAAGGCTCTCGTGCATGCGGTTCTGTGGAGGGACACAGCCCCATGGTGACTCCCATGTCATGACAGGGACAAAGCAGAGGGGGGTGTGGGACGGTGAGCCATCCTCACCACTTCGTCATCCTCCACCAGGACCATGTCGTAGGCGCTGAGGGCCGCAATGAAGATGATGCAGGTCACCCCCTCGAAGCAGTGGATCCACTTCTTACGCTCCGAGCGCTGGCCCCCCACATCAAACATCCTGGGCAGGACAAGGATGGGGTCAGCACACACCCCCTCCCCGACACCACCTGACACCAGCCCTCGCTGGGGGCTTGGTCCCACCTGAAGTTGAGGTCTTTGAAGGAGAACTGGGTCTCGATGATGCCGGTGGTCTTGACACGGGAGCGCAGCACATCCTGCTCCGTGGGGACATAGCCAGGGGTCACCAGGCGCTCCAGGTCTGACAGGTAGCTGACCGGGCACACGGTGGGCATGAGACATGGGTCAGTACCCCCAGACCCCTCCCCACATTCCTCCACCCCACGTACTAGCCAGCCGAGTCATTGAGCTGGTACTCGGAGGCACGGTCGAAGCAGGCTTGGATGCCTGCGTCCTTCCAGAGCCGCCCAATGATGTCTGACATCTCCTTGGGCATGGTGCCCTCCTCAATGGTGTCTGAGAGGTGCAGCAGCTTGCGGGCATCATCCTACCAGAGACAGGGCCTCAGTGGGCTGGGGGACCAGGAGGACCCTCCTGCCCAGCCTGGGGTGCTCCTCACCTGGCGAGCTGTGTCCCCATACTGGATGTTGAGGGTGGACATGGCCCGCACGATGGCCAGCATGGATTGCAGTGTGTTGCTGTAGATGATGGCGATGAACTCCAGGCATTCCTCCAGTGAGTAACCATCCTGGTGGATAATCCTGGTCAGGGAGGAAAACATGGGGCTGAGCTGGGCACCCATGGGTACAGCATGGGGCTGGTGCCATGGGTCTGAGCCAGGCACTAAGGAGTGGGTACACCCCGTGGCTGTGGCATGGGGAAGAGCTGGGCATGGTGAGCACCAAGTGTCACCCCTTGGCACTTACTTCATCTGCTTGACAATGGTGCTCTTCCCTGACTCACCTGCACCTGAGGGGACAAAACACAGGTCATGGCAGTCCTGGTTGCACAGACACCCCTGTGCTGGGGCTTCTGATGCTGGGCAGGACTGAGGACACTGGTGGCAATGCCAGGTCCATGGCTCAGGCAGGGGCATTACAGCCTGGTGCCAGCGGGCATTAAGGTTGGGCTGAGCTGCTGTGGTTAATGGGATCTGCAACAGCTCAGCCGGGACGTGCTTGGGGACCCAACGGAGGATATGGGGACACGGTGGCATCATAACCCCACCACCCATCACCCCATGCCCTAGGCCTGTGGCTGCACAGGGAGATGAGCCCTGGGCTGGAAGGCCAGTGATGGTCCTGATGGCACCACCATGTCCAGGGTACCCCGTCCTCAGGCACCACTGGGGCAACTGGGAGGGACTGGGAGGGACTCACAGTACTGTGGGGCTGCAGGGACATACACAGAGTGCTGGTGTGGGCTGCATGAGGGTGCCTAGGAGGAGGGGGGGAGCTGGGGGGTGGTATTGGTGCTCGGGGGGGCTGGGGGGTGGGGGTGGTGAAGTCTCTTGAGATGGGTTGGTTGGGCTTTGAGGGACCTGGGAGTGGGGGAATACTGAGTGGGCTGGTTGGGTTTGGGAGATGCCTAGAAGAGGAGGGATCACAGGTTGGGCTGATGAGATGGGTTGTTGGGTTTGGGGAGCCTGGCAGGGTGTGTGTGTGTGTGTGTGTACTGTTGAGAGAGCTGCTGAGATGAGCTGGTTATGGGGAGCCCGGGAATGGGGAGCTGGTGGGGTGGGCTGGTTGGGCTTACAGGTTCCGTGGGAGTGAGGAAACATTAAGGGGCTGTTAGGGTGAACTGGTTGGGTTTAGGGGTGCTGGGGGTGTCAGGAAAACAGGAGAATATTAAGGTGGGCTGGTTGGATTTAAGGGTGCTGGAGCATCAGGGGAAACACTGGGTGGGCTGTTGAGGTGGGTTTAGGACTGCCTGGGTGGTGAGGGTGCTGTTGGGGTAGGCTGGTTAGATTTAAGGGTGCTGGGGGAGTCAGGGAAACATTAGATAGGCTGTTGGGTTTAGGGCTGCTGTTGGGATGGGCTAGTTGGGTTTAGGGGTGTCAGAAGGTGCCAGAGGACAGTTGGTTGGGCTATTTGGTTTAGGGGGGCTGTTGGGGAGGCCTGGTTGGGTTGAGGGGTGCCAGGAGGTGTCAGAGGACCATAGGGAAGGCTGTGAGGGTAAGGTGCACAAAGGATGGGTATCTCCCCCAGGGTGCTGTCCCCCTCCATACCCAGCAGCAGCAGCTTTACGGTCCTGGCATCCTTCTCAGCATCCTCCTTGAGCTTCTTCTCCAGTTCCCGGGAGTGCTTCTCCTCAGCGCTGGCCCCGGCGCCCATCCTCGGCCCCACGGCCCTGTGGCTCACCCGATCCTTGGAGGTCAGTACCAGGATGGGCAGCGAGCTCCAGCCCCGCGCCGCCTCCAGCACCAGCCTCCCTGTGCCTGCTGCCACCAGCCACCAATGTGGGCCAAGGACGGGGCCAAGGTCCCCAGGGGCCACCCGGCTGGTGCTGCTCTCAGCACCCGGGCTTAAGCCAGATGCCCCCCCCGCGCCCTCTCCAGATAAAGCCCCTTCAATCTGCAGTAGGCTGAGCTCAGCAATCCCAGGTTCCTGGTGTCAGCACTTCTGCCTGCAGGGGCGCAAGGCAGCCAGCCCCCTCTTTGCCCCAACCCTGCGGCTAGGGCAGTGATCCCCCAGACATCCCTGGGGATGTGGGACCCCCACCCAGCTCCATTTCTGCTGTGGGGTTGGAGCTGAGGTGGGTCTGATGGGGACTGGCAGTGAGTGGAAAGGTTCCCATTGACCCGGCTCACACTGGTCAACCCTAGTGCTGGGCCAGTGCCCACAGCTCCCCATAGTAACCCATCACAGTGTCCCCAGGGGCACCCACCAGTGATTGGATGTCAGCCCCGGTCACCCCACC